GGCCCCGCCGCCCCGGGGAGCGTAAATCCCGGCTGGTGATGGCATGCAGAGACAGGGAGACCTCAGGGATCTGTCTGAAGTCCATAAAGGAAACCCACTATTTCCTAGAGGAAAAGCCCCTCGCTATCAAAACCTGGAGGAGGCATCCTTCAGCAGCGAACTGGTGCCTGATTCAAAACAGCTGTACCCAAACCACCCCAACCCTCCCAGACGCTGTCAGGCCAGCAATCCAGCTCTGCAAAGGGGACAGGCCCCTGGCTCTGCTTTATCGTTGCCAAAGGGCACCAATGGTTTTGGGTGCAGGGGTCACCTCTCGCCTCCAAATGCTCATAGAAAGTACCGAGCCATTGGGCCACAGCTGGAGAGCTGAGAGCAGAGTTTGAGTGTGCCAGCCAGAGAGCCCTGCACATCCAGCACATCTCCTGAGCCGTTTGTGCCTCCATCAGCATCGTGGCACCTTTGGCTGGTCATAAACGTTTTGGCAGGTACTGTGCCAGCCTCGCCTGTGACACTCTTCTTGCGTTTGAGACCCCATCTTTGATGGCCTGAAAATCTCCTCCCTTTTAATTTGGTTCAGACAGTCATGTTGTCCCTGTCTGGAGGGCTACATTGACCTCCTAAATGACAAGTTCCTTTCATGATTATATACATGGCTCTAAAATGCAGCCGACTCGCTCTGTTTTACCCTCTGGAGATCTCAGCAAGGGCTTTGTCCTGAAATGGACAGCTTTGTGACTGGTTTCAATAAGTCAAGAGCTCTTGTGTTCCTAAGCATTAAAGAGGATTTAAACTTTTTTATACACATATAGGATTAAGTGAACCTCTAGTTCAGTGTCGGATCTTTTCCATTTTTGAAACAGTTCAATCTCAATCAGACATCTCGGGATTTATTGTCAAGCTTGTCTCAAACAATTCCCACATCGTCGTTGTTTTATATTGTTTCAAGTAATAGTCTTGTTTCATTCGCATGATTGCGCTATGATTTTGGTGTGAGCTAGTGATAGCTGTGAAATCCTAGTCTGCAGGTAAGCAGTCATTCAAACGTATTTCAAAAAATTACACAATGGGGAGCAACAACATATCTCATAATTGTTTCTGTTTCTAGGTATTCTTGAAATAACTGCTGTTGATGTTGGAATCGTTGCCATCAAGGGCTTGTTCTCTGGCAGATACCTGGCCATGAACAAAAGGGGCAGACTTTATGCATCAGTAAGTTTTACTCCAGACTGGCATATGCCTGTCATTTCCTATGGGGAGAACCAGTCCAGTGGGGAGAACTGATTTCTTATAAATAAATGTTTATAGAGAAAAGAGCAGTGTTATAACAGATTTTTGTCTGGAATTGTTACAGGCAACCAATCGGTATATTTTTAAGAGTGGAAAGAAGCTGTGTTCTTACTTTCTTATTGCTTGTACGGCCAAAGGCAGAAGACTGTATTTAGCAAAGGAATTTCACATGGCCAAAGTTCTGGGCAATCGGGTGCACTGATAAAGACCTCATGAGCCAACCTTTGCAGTGCAGAACATCCACCTCTATTCAAAATTATCCATATTTATATTTGATGTGGATCTTGGACACTGGCAGAGGATATACATGTCAGATAAAGAATATCCAGAAGCAATCGAGCACCTCTGTTGCAGGAAAGCAGCCTACTGAGAGGAGTTTCTTTGCACAGAGCTTTTGGTTGGGCAGTGAAAGAATTTACAGGTACTAAAAGGCAGGGCTATAACAGGGGAAGGAGGTATGAGAAGGCGCAAAAGGACAAAGGTGAAAATAAACACCTTATTCTACTCCTTTGACCTCATTTTTTGTCCCGATCTTGGAGGTAAAATCTGGGCTCTACTGACATTAGTGGGAGTCTTGCCTTTTCAGTCCAGCCAATACTTCCCCCCAGTGAATAAAACACTTTAGCTTAGACTTCCTCACATTCAAGGACACACTAAGGCGTATTTGTCAGCGTGTATACTATACACATTATCTACCTACTTGAATTTCTCCCATCGTCTTTGATTACATCCCTAGCAATCTTGTGATCTCTTACTGTGTAACAGCCATACTGTGCAGTTTCTCTAGGAATCCTGCGGTATGGAAACAGATTTGAAGAGGGTAAACTATGGCTATGTGAAACTTGCTTCCTCCAATTAGTCATTATATATAAATCTGTTGATGTGAACAGCAAGATATATCCTCCAGCAATGTGAGCTTTTTCCATGTGAATGCAACCTAGGTAACACAATCAACTCAGTTGCCTCCCTGGTTTAACGGATTTTCCTCCACCTTTTCAAGAATGTTCTGATAGTGTTTGCGACCCAGCGTCTGTAATGTGTCTCACGTGATGCACACTGATTAAAGGGCCTGTGCATAAAGATGATGTTTCTTTGCTGGTGCAGAGAAGCAGATCACAAACAATTCTGGCAAAGGAAAATGCAGCTGAAAGTGGAATGAAGACATATTAGCTCTGCTGTGCCAGAGTTAAGGCTGGCCACTTCTATGCTTCCAGTTAAGATTCTGATTAATATGGGCTTCTTTCTCAATGGAGCTCCTCCATCAGCTCAGAGCCAGCGTCTGCCCCAAAGAAATCAATGGGAAGGATGAATTTCCAAGTTCTTTCTCATCTTTCTCTCTTTCTTGTTCAAAATAGGTATGTTTTTCCTCCAGATTAAGTAAGCTGAATTAAAATAAGACTAAAGCAAAAAGCCCTCCTAGAGTGGAGAAAAGCCTAGAGTAGGATAGCCCTGAGACTCCTTTTCTCCTGGACTTCCCTTTCTAGTGTGAGGAACATCAGGCCATCCTGAAGTTTGTTCAGCTGTCACGTGCCAAGGAATATCAGCCATGAAAGGGTTCTGTACAACTAGAAAAGATAATTTTTGCTGCTCCAGCTCAAGTTTGAGAGAGACTGTTTCAGACTTGTGTTTCAGACTTGTGTTTCAGAGCTGGAGGGACAATCCAGGAAAAGCTATTCCACTCCAGCTTTTTTCACAGAAGCAGCAAAGGGTGAGGACTCAGCTCAGGAGAAACTTCCTGGCTTTGCTTGCCTAGAAAAAACTGACCGATGACTTTACTGATGTTACTGTGCCAGGAACCTGTGTACAAATGAGGCTGACTTCTTTGGGGATAATTATGTAGGCAGCATTTTATTAAATGGTATTGGAATAACTCCATTATCCCTTGGATCACCAATTTTCCCATGTCAATAAAATGAGTTTGTTGAGTCTACAGAATTCCTTTGTGTCCTTAGTGGATTGTGATAATCCTCTAGGTTTATCCTCTGTGATAACCCTCTACAACCAGAACTGAGGCAGACAGCAGGACAAATCTACCTACATGTGGCAGTTGCGTGGGCTCCAGCACCACAGCACATTAAAACGTTGTCCTTGCAAGGAAGGGCACTTCCGTTTTACAGCTGTGAGGCTGAGACATGTGGAGTCTTTTAAAATCTTGTTAAACGCCTATCAGCATTTCTGGTGAGTGAACAGCATTAAAGACATGTTGTTAATGGAGCCTATGGCTTTTCTGGCCCCGGCCTGGCTACCTGTGCCCTTTCCATGTCCTCCACAGAGGTGATGCAAAATAAAAAAACCTCTGTAAAGACCATGGTAGCAGTTCCCCTCTGCCTCTGTGCTTTATACTTGTTAGATACTGAAGCGTTAGTCACACAGGTACAGCAAAGATGATTTTGTAGTTAAGAAAAGCTGCACAGTGTGGGAGTTCCTTTTATTTGCACCTTTTCTACTGCTCCCAGCGAGGAGGAAGGACTTCCTCATGCTGGGCTTTTGCACAGTTTTCTCTCATTTGAGGAGCAGATGAAAGCAGCGAATTTTGACAGACTGTGTAAAATGTGAACACCCGGGGTGGGTGTGTATTCTCCTTCACAGTTTGTGATGAAGGACCAGCCAAGCATTTGGGAGGAACACACTGGTGGGCAGGGCGTACTTCCACTTTTTTGTGCTGAAGCAAAGAAAGAAGCTTCAAAAAGGTGTTGTTTACTGCTCAAATACCCATAACAAACCGGATGTTTGTTTATCTAACTACTAATAGTATTTTACCTTTTTTGATAGATGTCAAAGGTTGATAGGCAGCAATTAAATCATCTGTCCAGTTCACAGGCATATTTTGATCTACAAGCACAAAAAAATTAAATTTACAGCTGGACAATCAGCAGAACTATTCATTCATATTCACATGCCATTTTTTGTTTTCAGATTGGTTTTTGGCCTCTTTCTGTCTCTGAGCCACGGGCTATGCTCACACTGCTGACAGCTCCTTGTTGCACAGCAGTTCAGGCTCAGCGCTTCCCTTCTGCTCGCTTTAGGTAGCATCACTCTGAGTTTTTCTTACCACATGTGTTGCTGTCCTTATCCTAAAATTGAATAGAGTCTTGCTTGAGACTTTAGTCCTGTCTTGTTGAGGTAGAAGAGAGCTATTGCCCATATAGTCTTTCTTAAACTTTGTCATGTTTGCTTTACAGGAAAATTATAATGCAGAGTGTGAGTTTGTGGAGAGGATCCACGAATTGGGTTATAACACCTACGCATCCCGTCTCTACCGGACTGTACCTAACAGAGCCGGCACCAAGCGCAAAGCCAGTGCAGAGAGACTCTGGTATGTCTCAATCAATGGGAAAGGACGACCCAGAAGGGGTTTTAAAACTCGCAGGACACAGAAATCATCTCTCTTTCTGCCCAGAGTATTGGATAACAAAGACCATGAAATGGTCCGACTGTTCCACACAAACGTGAAATACCGAGAGACTCTCCTGAAGCCCCTGAGCAAGAACCAGCGAAGAAGGAGAGGACGCTGACAGGGGTGGGGGGAACTTGTATGGGGGCTGGAAGTGACTGAGTCTTCAAAATACTACTAAAAAAACTAACAGCTGTGATTGTATGACAGGCATTAACATGGACATTTTTTAGACACTGTATAATATAACTGAAAGTCACATCACTTACTTTTAGCTATTGTAGAATTATTATCTGTGGTAAAAGAGATGTGAGATAAACTAAGGCACATTCAAATGTAAATTAGTTGGATGTAATAATTTTGTCAATGACTTTCACATTTTCTTTTCTGAAAAAAAAAAAATTGTTACTAGTATTTTCATTCTAACTTGCCATAGGGTATTATGTCAGTGATCCTGTCCTCCCAGATCATATGAATCTTTTACACTTGCCAATTTTGTGTCCACAGAGAAAGCATGACACTTTCATGGCTCTTTTGGCAGTTCCTCACAAAAGGCTTCATTCCTATTTTTATAGAATACGGGAGTTAGAAAACTGGTTTATTTTTTAACTTACATATATTTATTTTTATTTTATGATCAGTCAGTATCAATTATATCTTTTCCATGACTGTCCAAGAAAAGTAAAATTGTAAGCTACTTCAAACATTTCAACAGATGTGCACATTGCTAGAGTATTTTTGAATTTGTTTAATTAAAAACACAAGACACCTGACCTTGTCATTCAAATAAATGAATGTTGGTGAAGTGGCATTTGCATTGGCCAAGCTTTAGCAATATATACCTGTTTACCAACTGATAAGTCCTCTCCTAAAATAGGACCCAAATATGATGTGAAGCCTGAGTTCATGGTGCAGACTGAACTTGCAATATAGGAAAATTCAGCATTGGGGATGAGAATCTTTATGAGGCACTTTTGTTCAGCTAAGTTTTCTACAGGAAGTCCTAATTCTAGGTTAAATGTGTTTTAACTATTTTGGGGCGGGGGGGTGGGGGTGGGGAATAACAGTGACATTGGGCACATAAAAACTGTAGCGACTCACTAATTTAAGGTGGCTGCTGTGTTTGGATTTTCCTTTCTTTTCAAACGCTTGTTATTTTCACAAGTCAGTCCTAAACTGAAAGCTCCAAATCCACACTGGGGTTAATGATCTTGAGCTTTGGTTCAATCCACATAAAAATATGTTCCTATAAACTTTTCTACTCTGATTCTGGAAGTTAACTTTTACAAAGTTGAGGGGAGTCCACGTCACAGGTTTAATTCTGAGCAAGGGGTTAAGCTTTAAACATTTCTCTTCACAGCCAGGAGATGATAGAGTAGTACTAAGATTTAGATGTGCTAGGCAAGTACAAATAATGGTCATTTCAATGAGATTTGGCCTTGTGTTCTTCACTTCCTAGAATTAGGCCCTGATTTAGCACAGCTGCAGAAAAGAGACTGCACTGAAATAAACATTCAATCTCAATTTAATAAAAGGTCTGTAAGTTAAATATGACATTATACAGAAACAGACAGGTGTAAATCCCATTCCTGGTCATATAGACACAAAGGTCTTCTTGTGGGCTACCTACTGAATAACGGTATGATCATTTAAAACTAGGGAGTGAAAATGTTCCATCTCTAAAGGGTGAATTCTGTGAGAGAGAGAAGTAAAATGAGTCCAGCAGTTATAAGTTTAGCGCTGCTTACATCCCTATAAAGGTAAAGATAGAAAGGCATCTTTATACCAAAATGTACACTCCATTCCTTCCACCTTTGTATCTTTTCTGTAATAGTCTAACAAAGAAGGAAACCATGCTTGAATAAGAAAGTCAAAATTCTTTGATCTCTGCTTTCCTTTATACTGAAATAATGTAAAGAGACACTTAAATAATTTAATTAATTAAATTAAATAATGCAATGTGGTGCACACAGAATAGGTTTAAAAAGGGGTACGGAAAACCATGAACCATGTTCCCAAATTTTCTTGCTTTTACTAAATAACTGAAAATAGTGATGGGGTCTTCACAGAAGTAATCAGGCAGTATCATGTCAGGAGCCACTGAAAAAGCTGTGCAAAGAAGAAACATAGAGACTGAAAAAGAAACAGAAGAATTCAGATTTTCTGTTTTGTTTACTCTCCTGTGAACCACACAAGGTCCAAACTACTCCAGAACTCAAGGTTTCTTTTGAAAACTGGTTATATCAGTGAAGGAAATTAAGTTTTGCATCCTGGGCATCAGGGATGTTTGGGGACACGTTGTTGACTACGCCAGCTACCCTGTCTCAGCTCTGTATTTCCCTTCAGGCTGCTGGTGGGGGCTGAACAATTTGACCGGGCAGGAAAGAGAGGGACATAGGGAGTCCTCACAGCTCTCAAGCTTCAAGAGCAAAATGCAGGGGGAGCAAAGCGTCAGTAACCCCAGCTGGCAGGGAAAGATCACCTACAGATGCAGATTGAGAGAGCTGGTTTTCCCCATGTCTAATTTCTGGGCCACGTTTATTTTGCCTGCTTTCAGATCTACTTCACCTCAACTTGTAAGAAAAACAAGATCCATTCTCAGCTTTCTCTCCCCTAAAAATTTGTTGTTGTTGTAAAGCTAATAACTAATGACTACATCAGGTATTTTTGATACAATCCTGATTGTCTAAAGAAAGTGGACAAACTCCTTTCTCCCATGACACAAAGATGGCATCTTCGCACCAGCTCCAAGTCCATTTCCTATCAAACATTTAGTCTTCACTCTTAGCTTTTCTCAAGGGCAAGTGCTTGTGCTGACTGTACCCCTTGCTTTGCTGTCTCTGCTTTTATCAAATTTTCCTCTCATTCTTTTCTCCTTTTACTTCTCTTACAGACCGTCAAACTGCCTGCCATAATGCAACGGAAGGTAATTGCTATTGGTGATATAAGAATACCATTAATTACAAAACACCTGCTTACTCCTGTCTTTGTTTTGAGCTGTATTGCATGCTTGTTGTAGGAGTATTGTTTTAACTACTTCCCCATAGGAAATTACAATGAAGTTTAGCTTAACACATGAACTGTATTTCGGTTTCAGTTTTCATCCCAACAAAGTCTAAAATACTGACACTGAAAAAAAAAGGAGGGGGGAGACAAAAGAAAAAATAATTAACTGATTGGATGCAATGGCATTTTAACTACTGTAGGTAAGTGATGATTTTCACATCAACCTAAAACAATTTTACTGACATTCTTCAAATTTTTCTTTGCTCAGTCTCATTGCAGCAATGCAAAGGAGATGGCTTTGGGATTTGTCTTTTTTTTTATCTTTTAAGAAATATTAATGTTCTTGTTGAAATACTTTTCATTACAGACTTTCATTACTTAATATTCTTTTAGCAACCTTGAATTCCACAGTTCCCAGATACTGACAGGCTGAAATCCTATTCACGATAATTATCCCAGTTGTATCCTATATCCCATTTTATTTATTTGGACCAGAACCTTATGGGATAGCTTACAAAAGGCAGTAGATCTGAGTTACTGTTACTTTCTCCTTAGGATTGTAAAGTCAGGATGTGTCTCCTCTTTTAAAAATTTCTTGAGTGACTTTAGAAATTTCTCTTGTACAGGCTATTATCAGACTTTTTTTTTTTTTTTTTTTTTTTTTTTTTTGGTAAATTTTTTTTTTTTTTTTTTTTTTTTTTGAGGAAGATGTAAACATTACGCATTTTGGACTGTAGAGTTTCTGCAAACTTTGCATTCTCCAGTAGTTCACTGACATCCTTAGATTCATCACAAAACAGAGATCATAGAAAGGGTCTTTCAGAGAAGCCAGACCTGGTAAAGAGCTCATCTGCTGCAGCCATTTTGATATATATCAGGTCAATTTTCAATTGTTTTGTGGTTCAGAGTCCATTTCAGGGCCACCATCAGCATTCCGCGGTTACATCTGCATTAGCATGTAGTGCAGACCCACAGCAAGAGATCTGCAGAGCAAAACCTCTGGTGTCAAGCACCCAATCTCCACACTACGCATAATTTGGGAGTGGGTGGGAGGGTTACTTTGGATAACTTCCAGTCTGACCCTACGGACTGAAAGCCCTCTGGCAGGTGGAGCTCTCTGATAGGGTCTCTGGGTTGAGTGTCGCCAAGAAGGAATCCACTTCATGCGCTCAGCAAATGACCTAACTCCAACTAGCAGGAGCCCTTGCTCAAAAGCATGCTTCTGATTTGAACCAAATGCCCCTGTAGATGCACCCTGTGTAAGATCCACTCATTCATACCCTGTAACTGTTTCCTTTTGGGGCAGAAACCAGATCTTGAGACCACAACTTCAACCCTCTCCATCCTGGGTGGCAAGTCAGTTACCAGAGCACAAAACTATTGTTGTTTTCATCCTGGAGTGAGGAGAGCATGGTCGCCACTTATTAATTGCCTATTCCTGGGCAGCCTGCTCTAGGTGGCCCTGGCTGAGGAGAGGGGTTGGACCAGAGGCCCTCCAGATGTCCCGTCCAACCTCAACCTTTCTGTGATTCAGTGATTCAGTGATTCAGTTATTAGTTGTACGGAATCCAAGCTGATTATTAGTTTGTCCTCACCTTTGGATATTCAGACACATGCTGTGCATTTCAGAGTCCAGTTCCCTACCCCAACCCCTCACATTTCTCTCCACTCACAAACTTCATCTGAAACCAAGCATGCTGTTCAGTTTTGGATGAGTTATTTTCTAGCCCATTTGAGCAGTCTGGGGTACTATCTGTCTATTCTTTCTCTTAAAATCCCTCATCGCAAATTCAGTATAGTCATTCAACTGCCAGGTACAAACAAAAATTGGGCAGCTGGTGTGTATATTTCCAAAAGCTAACTTTTCAGCTTGCTGTCCTGCACCAGCTCTTTCCTGAACTCCACGAGGCACATTCTCTTCACCTCCTTCACCTCCTCCACGTCACAAAAGTCTTTCTGTCTGTGCCATTTCTAGCACTGTATAGAACTGTTTCCTTCCAGTTTTGCACTTTTTTAAAAAATGAATATTGTTCTGTAGAAACTGCACAAATTATACAAATATTGTGTTACTTTCCCAGTCACTCATACGTTACTTGAACTGGACTTGAATGTCAT